ATATATTTTTATCAAAATATATTATATATGTATATATTACAAAACATAACTAAAAATTTTCTTATAATAATTCATTGCATAATATGCAAATCACGTTATATTTTCAAAGTAAGAGAATCCTAATGCAATAGCTGTTAATCACTTTTAGTCAAGTTTTTTCTAATATCTGAATAAAATCATACTGATTCTCAAAAAACCGTTATATGCATTTATGAATGATGAGAACGTATTCTGAAGGAAATACATATATATGTTTATATTATACATCAGTTTTTTTACGATTTATATAATAAAATGAAAATAATAGATTACTGTGAATTATGTGAATTATCGTGACATTATCTTATCCGTGAATTATTAATCTTGGTATTACTGAATTAATCTCTGAATCTCAAAATTTGGCGTCAAATTTCTAATTTGAATCTCAAAATTAGGCGTAAAAATGTATATATAAAAATAAAAGTTAATGTAATAATTTAATTTATGCAGTTTTTTATTATATTGATTTAAAAATAAACGACTTCGTAAATTTGGAAATTTAAAAAATGTTAAATTATAAAATTTTATTCGACTAATTTTAAATAAATGTTCAATATGTTGAACTGGAAAATTATTAGAAACATGTGTAAACATCATCTCTCTCTCTCTCTCTCTCTCTCTCTCTCTCTCTCTCTCTCTCTCTCTCTGTTTCCCTCTCACTTTCTCCCTTTTTCTGTCTCTATCTTTTTTATCTATTTATTTATTTTATCTATTTATTTATTTATATTTCATATCTTTCTTATGATGTAAATTTAAGATGATATATATTATTCTTTTTGCATTAAAAATTATTATGATATTTTATTTTCAGAATTTATGTTTTATATTATATTTAGGTTTATAACTGTTTTTTGCAAGTTTTATAAATCATGTGCAAAATATCAATTAATTAAAACACGTGATAAATCGTGATCATTTACATATTTTAAAATCGTTTTAAAAAACGAGGTAATTGTGAACACCAACTTTTTTTTAGCAATATCGAAGTCAGTCTCAGATCTTATTTTGTCATTTTATATATACCGTATTCATAAGCTTTTCTGAGATACCTTTGCTATGTCATCGCTTGAAGCTAATCTGTCGTTATTAAATACTTAAGTCAGCTTGTGCGTACTGTTCATTGCTTAAACTACAATATTATACCAACAACATGAACGTATGCATCAACCAAGTAGTACAC